TCTGACCTGTATTGTTCGTTTAATGTTTGCATCGTTTTCCTGTGCTCATCTGTTTTTTTATATATGTCTTCTTTAGATGTGCTGAGTAGTTCTTTCATTATTGATGTCATTTCTTTTTTTATCTGGGCTGTTATTTCTGATCTGATTTCTTCCATGGCCTGTTGGAATTGTTTCTTTACTTCAGTTGCAATCATTTCAGAGATTTCAGGTATGCAACTTCCAAGTTCTCCTATGTCAGTGTCTTCTGGACTTGTTTTGGGTGGAGTTGAGTTCTGAGATTGCATTTTGCGCCTATGTCTTGTCATTTTGGATGTCAGATGGATATTGCTGAGTTGCACGCTACCCAGGCAGCTCACCGAAGGTCTCTAGGGACCTTAGTTTACCTGGATATCAGACTTCTCCCAAGATGGTAGGGGGCAGTGGACCACTGGGCCCAGGATCTCCAGGCAATTGGTGGGGTCCATGGCTCAGACCATAACTGCAACGGTGGGGAAATGCTGGCCTTCAGTACAAGGGACTCCAGGCCGTCAGTGGAAAGTGTGTGGGCTTCAGCTGTGAATCCGATGGTGGCCAGACAGGGGCAGCTGCTCCAGGTTCCTCAGGTAGCTGGTCGAGGGACAGTGGGCCTCACCTCCCAACTGAGAGGTCCACACAGCCCAGGGCCGCTCCTGCACCACTTCCCTGTCTGAAAGGAGCAGGGCGGAGGGTAGGCACAGGCCTCACCTGCCAGTGGAAAGTTACAGTTTCTTCTTAAATAAGGACACAGTTGCCCTTGCTTTTGACAGCAGTACATGCACAGAGGGATTGTTTTCAGTCTTCCAAAGGAAACTTATATACATCTAAAAAGCACTATTCAGGGGCTGGGGATTTAGCTTAGTGGCACAGCGCCTGCCTGGCAAGCGCAACGTCGTGAGTTCAATTCCTGGTACCAGAAAGAAAACCAAAAAACCAAAAAATAAATAAATAAATAATTTTTTAAACCGAAACCAAAAAATAAATAATTAATTAATTAAAAAATAAAAAACACTATTCAGAGCTACTTGAACTTTAAATGTAATGTTTTTAGTTTTTATTAGATAGATAACTGATTAAATAAACAAATCATATTCCTGAGCCTTTCTCAGATACTTAATTTAAGGAAACTTACTGTTAAATTTACATATTGTCTCAAAGTCTTATAAATATTTCACCACTATATGTAATTTTGTTTACTTTTATAATGTTAAGTATACTCAAATGTCTGACCCTTGCTACAATTGCTGTAGCAAGGTGTCAAGCACAGGTTCCCAGTAATGTGTAAAAGGAAGAGCAATTTATCTTTCTCACTATGTACTGTGGAAGTATTTTGTTTTCTGTGTCTTTAGTATTTTTTTTAATGAACGATAGTAAGCATGTGTTACTTTATCTTTCCTAAAAGAATGTTTGTAAATGTTTAAATGAACTTTAATTGCTTAGATTTTAGTTTTCAGGTTATATATTTTCCCAGTTTTAGTAAATCAGCCCTATACATTTTGTTTCAAAATATAAGTAAAATTGGAGTCATTCCTTTTTCTAGATTGTTTATCTTCAAGCAAGCGTAACAAATTTTAAAAGTAGCCAGGCTGTGGTAAGTTTTATTTTCAAAACTCATTATATAACTTTAATATGAAAGAACATGAAAAAATATGAGAGTGGATTTTTTTAGAAATGTTAAGACTTGAGTGTTTAAAAGGTATTACGAACTTAAGTAATTTTAAGAAAGTGAATTTAAGCCTATTAAAATAGACTTGTCATTCTGAATTCAGTGGAGTCTCTCAGTACCTGACTTTTTGTTATTGTTACAAACTATTATCTTTTAAATTTTATTTTGAGCATTTACCTAGAGGACATATTCTCAGCAGTGAAAATAGGAAGTCAAAAAATAGTTTTGTAACTAATCACTTTAAAGGACGCAGACAAGATCATTTCAGTATTTGATCTCAGCTTGGTAATGGCAAGATGTACTTATTTAGCTAATAAGTCACTGGGTATGATTCTAAATGAAATAATACATAAGGCTTACTGTTTGGTCTCTTAGTAGTTGATGGTTTTGCTTTATTGTTTGGTAGAATCCCAAACACTCTAGAAGAAATGAAAAGAAGTCCAACCACCATAAGTGGTCTGCAGCGTCCCCACTTTGGTTGTCCGTGGCAGATGCCGAAGACAGCCTCCGCATGCACAGCGCGGTGCTCAACCTGCTTACCTGGACCGTCCTGCTCAACATGCCGTCCTTAGTCTACTGGCTGAAGAACCTCCGGTGCGTTGTACTTACGGAATTATTTACATGGTTCACACAGGAATCTGCAAGTAGAGACTTCCTGGTTTTCTAATGCCCCATGAAAATTGCTCAAGAACAGGAAGCTCCATACTGTCTGAGATATACTTCCAGTACATCCCCATTTCTCCTTTACCATAAGAATATAAACTTTGGGGCTATAAACTTCCCCAAAAGTTGACCCAAAAGAGTGATCTGTATTTTTGTTTTTGGTACATCGCTAAGTAAAAGGCCACCTCATCCAAGTAGTAGTCAAGTTCCTGCTCATAAAAAGATGGTGCAAAGGTTTCAGATTGTCTGAATATTGAAAGCATTTTAAGTCAGAAGTAAAATAAGTTTAATAAATTAAATAAAAGTTTACCAGACATTAATACCCTTCCTTCATTTTAGTCAGGATCCAGACCGTGGTTCACAGATCCACAGCCAGATTGCTGGAGGAGAGACTAAGGGTTCCCAGGAGTCACAGACACCCAGTGGGTCCAGGATGATCGATTTTGCTTTGTGGATTCATGTTTTGTTTTCTCTTTTATGATAGGTACTATTTTAAACTTAATCCTGATCCATGTAAACCTCTGGCGTTTATCCTTATTCCAACCATGGCAGTTCTTGGAAATACTTACACAGTTTCAATAAAATCAAGGTATAATCTCTTAGCCTTCGTGTTCCTGGCCTGCATCACCCTATACTTTATTTCTGGAGTAGATCTTTATTTGTGTTAATTTGCATATTCCTGAAAGTAAAGCCTAAGAATGTTATGGCTGAATATGAAAATACAGCTTATATGTGATTATGTTATACTTGTTTTTTAACTATAGGTTTTACTTGTTAGGATGTAATAATGTGGGTTCTTTTTCCTTTAAAAGCTATGATGCATAAGATTTACTTTCAAAAACTCTTTGAGGCCAGGCGTGGTAGCCAGGCCTACAATCCCAGCACTCAGGAGACTGAATCAGGAGGATTGCCATGAGTTCAAGGCCAGCCTGGGCCACATAGTGAGTTCAAACTGGCCTAAACTACATAGCAAGACCCTGCCTCAAAAAAACAAAAAAAGTAAACAAAAAAAAAAAAAACAAAAAACCTGCAAGAGTAGAAGTAGCTAGAGATACAGGTGAAGTAAAATCGGCCAGGATTTGAGTTGTAGAGGAATACTAGGTGCACGAGGGCTCCCTGTCCTGTCAGGCTGCTGTTACATATGCTCGGAATTCTCCGTTGTGAGACTTGGCTTTCTCCAGCGTCTGTTCTGAGAGCCCTTCAGCTGTCTGTTGGAGACACTGACCAGTGTTCTAGAACGAAGTGGACGTGGGGTTTCAGTCTTTGCTGCGCAACAACTCAGTATTCCTAAGGCAGGCTTCGCCATACTTCTTATCCTCAGTTCCTCTGTTTCACAGTAAAAAGGTGAGAGTCCTTCCTGAGAGTTAGTTTTCTTTTAAAAATGTAGCCAGGCGTGGTGGTACATGCCTGTAATCCTAGCACTCGGGAGGCTGAGGCAGGGGGATCATTGTGAGTTTGAGGCCAGCCTGGCCTACAAAGTGAGCACAAGGCCAGCCTGAACTGCATAGTGAGACCCTGCCTCAAAAAGACAAAAAAAAAAGAAAAGGTTACGTGCTACTTTTGTTGGATTTTAACATGGTTCCTTTTTGGTTTGCTTGTGTTGCTATTATAAATAGGATTAAAATGAGGATTTTTGTAACTATCTTAGTGAATGTGATTATTTTTGCTAGGATAAATTTTTAGAGGTAGAATTGCACAGTAAAAATTTAACTAGTATTTTTCCATTATTAAAGCTTGAAAGGATGAACAAAATTGGCTATTTTCTGAATAGAAATGCTTTTCTGCTTTTTTGGTTTTTTTGATTTTTTTAGTCAAAGCATAGTTGATTGATCTTTCAAAAAAATTGAGAACACACCGGGCGTGGTGGTGCACACCTGTAATCCCAGCACTCGGAGGCTGAGGCAGGAGGGTTACTGTGAGTTCGAGGCCAGCCTGGGCTACAAAATGAGCTCAGGGCCAGCCTGAACTGCATAGCAAGTCCCTGTCTCAAAAAGACCAAAAAAAAAAAAAAAGAGAACAGGTAAATTGATTGTATAGAAATACTTCATGTGCAATCACTTAGGACACGTGTCGTTCCCAGCTGTGTGCAGCTGGCATATTCCATTGCAGCTCCCGCCTGTTACATGCTGTGTGTTTTCTGTGTCTCCCCAGCAAGCTGCTGAAGACTGCCTCGCAGCTCGCCCTTCCTCTGGCTGTCGGCGCGGTCGCGTTTGGGTCGGCGCACTTGTACAGGGTCCCGGGCTTCGCCTGCCTTCCGCTTGTCCTCCACACCTTGTGCAACTTGATGTGAGGGGACGGAAGGGGAAAACCAGGGCAGTCGATGCCTGAGGGGCCAGTGACGAGTGGAGCCACTCACGTGGACAGCAGAGTCCTTCGGAGAAGACAAGTCTATTTTTGCAGTACTAAGCATAGGAAATTAGTTTTGTAACGCCTGCGGAAAGGAGGTGACGCGTGGTGTGTTCTGTGGGACCTGGTGAGGGTGTGCGGCAGCCCCAGGCCGAGGACTGCTGCGCACAGTCCTGGTCTGCTCCTGTCCAGCCGGTGACCTCCCGCCACCCGGGTAGCAGGTACAGCAGCGCGTGCAACCGCCCGTCCAGCATGCCGCTGCTTCATCATCTCCTGAAAAGTGGCTTGTTTCCTATCTGCTGTGGTTTACATGTTGTAAAATGAGTTTTCAAAGAGTGATGAAATTCCCAAGTGTGAGGTTTCTCAAAAGTGAAATAGCTGCAAAGACCCTTCAGTCTCTCTCGGCAGTCATGGTGAACAAAGCAAGCTTCTGTCTTCTTCACATGTGAAGGAGAGCTTTGCATTATAAGGAGATGTATTTTTGGTAAGCAGTGTAAGATCGATGGGTAAAAGCATGGCTCAAAATCAAAATGAGGAAGTTTCCATGTTATTCTCACATATAAATCATGGCTGTTAGATTTAAAGAATATTCTCACGGATATCATTGGGCGTTGGTGTAGTTCGTTTTGGTGATTCAGTTCATTGTCCACATGATTGCCAAACGTTCTTCAGGTGAGGCTAGATTGATAACTAAATTTCAGTAATTAGCAAAAACTCTAGGTTTGTGCCATTTCTGTCTATTTTGGAAAAAACATGACCAAGTATAGCATCACATTTGATGTATAAATTTATACTACTGGGGTAACAGTAAGTATGGCATTAATATAAATAGCATACCTGAAGAAACTGGGGCATAGCCACAAGATTTAACAGTGGAACCTCGATGTGCCAGGTGACTTCCAGGGTTACTGTCGGATAAATGAGGGCGTGATATTTCTGTGTAATTTCAGATTTCAGTTCCTGCTTAGCTAGGACACAGTACGCGGGTAAGGGAGCAGGGCAGAAGAGTGCAAGTGCCCTTCGCCTCCAGAGTGCACTGGGGCTGACGGTCACCAGCCCATAGAGCTCTCTTTTACACGTGGGGACTTTCAGCACCCAAACCTCTCATGGAATGTCCTGAAGTTCCCGCCCATGAGTCCGCAGTGGCGCTTTAGCTGGTGTCCTTGTGGTCCCGGGGATCGGTAGTGAAGGTGAACTTTCAGAGCTCTCCGTGACACAGACAGCCCGCGCAGCCTGCGTGCCATTGGCTCTCTGCCACTGTCCTAGGGCCCCTCGATCCCTGTGTCTCAGCAGTTGCCACCTGGAGGTTCCTGCCACTGCCCTGCCGGTGGCGGTGTACCTCGTCCCTGCTTGTTTCTCCTCAGGCCCCGCTGTTTCGGCGTTAGGCAGACAGTGTCTTGCTAGTACGTCTGAGGCTTGTGAGCTTACGCAGTCCCACCCCAGCTCCGTGCTTAGTGCTCAGCATGCATATTGTCCCTTACTGAGACCAAAGAGAGTGACAGCCCACAGAGGTGACAGACTTGCCACACCGGGTTGACTGGAGACGAGGAGCAAGTGGAGTAAGCTTCAAAACGCTTATGCGTTGAGCACCCGAGAGGAAAGAGTTTATTCGATCTTACGCTTGCCTGCTGGCCCTGCGAGTGTATTTAAAGAGGGAAACGTTGCCTGTGTTTGGCAACATACAAGACAGCTTTTGTACACTCAGTACCTTGGTTTTGCCATGACTCTGTACGTGTCTCAAGTATAGGTTAAACATGGCACTCAGCTCTTTCTGAGTTTGACCTTAGGTCCATACACAGGAACACTCTGAAAGAATTTTAGGATAGTAGTTAATGTGATCTTCAGTTGACAGCTGTGATCATTATGTTTATGAGATCGAAAGTCTCCTTGTTCAGTCGGTACTGAAGGAATCTCTCACTCAGGAGCAGAGTTGCCTTTTAAAGCAGTCGGCCTGGCATACTAATTTCCACTGAAATCTCTTTGTGTCAGTATACTTATCACCAAGCCCTCAAGTCGTATTTACACCAAGAAAATACTTTGTTTAAGCACTATAAAACGGATGCTGATCAAATAGTTTATACACGGTGACAGAGTGTATTTGTAGCCAGGACGTCCACAGAGCAGACAGATCAGTTGGCCTACATTTCCTTCTTAGACGTTAGGTCTAAGTTAGCGTGATGTTGTCTTGCGTTGTTTTTTGGGTTAGTGCAAAACTTCATCAGGGTGCTTTCTAAGTGTTAGGAACCGGTTCTTAAAATTGTTTGGGGGCTTTTCAGCACTGCGTTGGACTTGCCATGACTAGGCGTCTGCTCGTTATTTTACATCCTCCCTCTTCGTGTAGAGTTCATAAACTTGGATATCATAGGAGACCAGATACTCCGTGAAGTTCATTATGAGGAAAATCAACTTGGGGGGTAGGGTACTAACCAGAATAATGGCAGCAAGAGAAGCATCTCCACAGTAGGAAACTAGACCCTGCCCAGGGACTTCCTTACCCAGTAAATGCCAATTTAGAAGGAACTTTTACAGAATTCTAAGATGATTAGGAACTGACATTTTACCCCAGGGATTTGGTTTTCTTTCCTTAGTGGTGTTTTGTGTTGGTTTGTTTTTGTTTTTGTTTTTGTTTTTTGAGACAGAATCTCACTATGCAGTTCAGGCTGGCTTTGAACTCACTGCATAGCCCAGGCTAGCCTTGAACTCCTGTAGGCCGCCACCCCCAGCTCTCCTGGAGCTTTTGAATGGAGACTGTTTCAAATTCTGAAGTAAACTTTATTGATACACATTACTGTGCACTCTTCCACAGTGTTAGTTTAGTAGCCTCACCAAATAAAAACATTGTAAGGCTGTTCATAGTCTACTTTTCATAAGAACAATGGGAAAGAAAATCCAAATCTGAATATGTGTACTGTGAATGCTCAAGATTCACATTCTAAAAATAAGATACATTATAAATAGGGAAGACTAAATTTTATGTGTTAGGGACATAGTTCTGAGAACAGAATTAACAATTGGGAATAGAACACACAAGCAGTTATTTCATCAGTAGTATAAATGTAACAATGCACCTGACATGTATCTTTCAAAAGTTAGGTGTTATTCTTAGCTGCATCTTGATTAGATTGTCTGTGACTAATAATTTTGAAATCAAGTACAGTACTTCTGAAAGTGTTTGGGATGGTTATGCTGCCAAAAACACCTATTTTTAAATATCATGATGTCATTTAATTTCTGATAACTTTGTGTAGGACTTGATATATATGAGTCAGGATCGTATATATAATTATTCTATACATTGTAACTTTGAACACTTGTGAAAAGCTATTGGTGTGCTTTGAGGAGTTGTGTAAATTTGCATATTTTAATTCTAACCTTATTTTGGGAAATCTAACAGTAGCGATTGTGTAACATTCATGACACTATTTTTAATGTTATTTTGATTTTTAGTATTTATATAGGAAAGTTTCCAGTAAGAGAGTTTATAGTCAAAGCATAGAACTATTACCTGTTCAAAAGTCTGAAAGACAGGCCTATTTTATATTTCATGTTGCACTTGTTCTGTTTCATACCGAACTTTTTCATCCTTTTTTTAGGAAAAAAAATTACAGATTTAAATTCTTTTTAGCATAAAGCTCTGCAGTGGAAACTGTATGATTGTATTCACACAGTTAGCAAAACATACTTCACCACCAAAGCTAAATGAAACTGTAAAATACCTCTGGATATTTGTGCCAATGAACTTTTCTTAGTATATTGAGATTAAATCAAAAGGAATCTTTTCCGTATTTTTCATCTGACTTATAATAAATGTGTATATCATAAAAAATTATATTCCCTACTCTAATTTTTCTTTGAAAACATTCAAAGTTATAGCATAGTTTGTTCCATTTTGCTGATTTCTTAGATATCTTCTGGTTTTATTGGGTAAAAGTCAATTCACATAGTAAGGACCTTTCAGCAGTTAGGCGAAGTACTCCCTTAGAATGACGCTGGTGAGACTCATTCTGGGACGTGGAACGTTGTCTGTGGTGCAGGCCCTTCTCTGTACAGGTGTCTCGTTTACGTAGTGAGAGCTCGCCGGAGAGCCCCTGCCCTTCACCCCGGGTGTAGTTACGCGCTGGGCAGAGGGGGGCTGCGCACAAGAACCCACCCAGAGCAGTGGAGGGAGCACCAGGAGGCTCGATCATATGTTACCTGCAAACGTTATAAAACCAGCAAGAATTAACGCTAAAGGGTGAAGATTAATACTGCATTCCTCTAGTGAGAGAAAAGTGGAAATATGATCGACTCCGAAACTGCTATTTACTTGCTGGAGACCCTTTCATTTCTCCCTGTAGGAAGTTTAAGGAAACTTCGGTCCTCCCTTTGACGGTTCGGCTCATCATGTAGTGTGAGCTGCTGTTTCTCTGCACAGCGATGCTGATCGAATTTGCATAAGTAGCCTTGGACGTAAAGAGGTAGCACAGAGCCAAATGCTGAAATATTTGGCTTTCATTTAGTTACAATTTAATTATCTAATGTGGACTGTGGAAGATATTAGTAAAAAGATATATAAGACGTGAATTCAGTATATACTATCATTTGGAATGAGTTTGTCCTCCGTATTGAATGATTATATCCTAAGTAGGAGATGCCTGTATTTTAACGTAATCGTACTTTTGACCTAGTCAGCGGTGTATTTGTTGAAATACTCATAGAATTAACCCTGCCCCCCTGTACTGTGGGGATGAGGGGGAAGCTCCAATTTTTAGTGCATATAAATTAGGAAATAATAGTGTGTGTTTACATGTTTTTAAATAGAAAAATGACTAAATATGTTATTTTGAAATGACTGTATTGCAGTTTCTTAATCTTATGATGATGATGTGTAACAATGTACCCATGAGAAACCAGACCAAAACTGAATATATATTATCACTGTGACCTTGAACTTAGTCATTCGGAATAAAACAGACTGTGCCTTAAAATGGTAAGGGAATGCTCTGCAATTTTATAAGTGCGTATTTTATTATGGGTGGCCTTCTCATATTGGTCCCAAATCCTGTCCTTTGAGGTTGTTGAAATGGAAGCTTCAAAGCTGACTGATACTCAGTATTTAGTGCTTAGTATTTGTAGAACGGCTGTCCTAGTGGCCTCCTTTAATTCCCAGGGTTCTTGTTCTTGAGTTAAAAATGACTTCGGCTACACAGGTGGAGAAAATTAAGTTTGGCTACAGTTTTGGGGAGAAAATTATTTTAGGAGAAGCTCATGGTACTTTTAAATGCACTGTACATGGAAACTCATCTTCGAAGTGTGATGTTTTTGTCTTCCTCATGAGCACAGATATGAACTCTCTACTAATACGTATGCTCCTTTGTCCTCAGATTTTGAGGCTTATATTTGCATATATCAAATAAGCTTGGTTTACCCAATAATGATTTTTGAACAGTTAAACTCAGCTTTTAAAAATTTTTAAATATTATTTCCCCTTATTTCTTTTTCTTTCCTAATTATTTTTAAAGTATCAAGACAGAATGACTTTTTTTTAAATGTAGGCTTGCATTTGTACTATGCTTATTTAAAATAAATGGATACAATTTCAAGTCGAAATTATTCCATTTATGGGACAGTCATGATCTCTGCTAAAAGTTGCCACATTTTTGTGTTTTTGGGGTAAGTTTTAAATTTCAGTTCTGAACATAGACTCAGCACATTTCTTCTGTTTTACTTCCACTACTTATCCCATCCCAAAGCACAAAAAAAAAAACCTTTCTCTAAAGATACGTAGAAAGACAACATGTCTTTTCTTAAAACCTGACCATATTAACAGGAAAGTGCTTGGGACAAGGGTATGTAACAAAATAACTGGCTTTCAACTTGCATCTCTTTATGTTACAGTTCAAAATTTTAGAGTACAAACTTTCATTGATAAAGATTCAGTATTATTTCTTGCAAGTTAATTTTGTTCTTGCCCAGAAAGTACAGTGCATAGTAAGAATACTTAATAGTGCAAAGGACTTGTCCTGTAGTATATACTGAAAAATGATTGTCACCTTACAGATCTTTCCATTTAAACAGGCATGATCTTCTCCAGTACTTTGTACAATGTGCAGTGTACTAAATACACTTACGTGTAATTCTATGTGCATTTTTGGTATTATGTAACACTGTTACATTTCATTGATTGTAATTCAGAAAAAGTGCTACTTACTGTACTTGTAGTGTTGTGAATGATGTTACCTGTGCCCTGGTGTTACGGTGTTGGTTTGATAGGTGGGTATTTGCCTTCAGTCTTTGCT